GTTGCTCAGGCTCCAAAGCCAAGTTTGCCTTGACTTCTTGCCCCCTCCCCTCCCACCCCGTGGCCAACCCACTGCTTAATCCTGTCACCAGCCAGGCAGAATCTGACTACATCTCCCAGCCACCCCCCTTGCCTCCTGCTCTCCCCACTCCCACCTTCCCCTACAACGGCCGCATGGCAGCCAGAATGGGCCTTTGGGAAGCCCCCTCCTGCTGACACACCTCTGATGGCCTCCGTCCCACGCAGGATAACATCCAGAGGTCTGCCTGTGTCTTGGAAAGCTCCACACCACAGGGCTCTCCACCTGGCCTCCCTCTCTAACCTGTGGGCCCCCCAACCCCTCCTCACTCCCTGTGCCAGCCACAGGGGGCTCCTTGCTGATCCCCAAGGAGGGTTCCAGCTCCAGGCCTTTGCATGGGCTATTACTTCTGGAGGCTTCTTGCCCCAGATACTTACATGGCTCCTTCCCTGGCTTCCCTCTACTCAAACTGTCACCTCCTCAGAGAGGCTGTTTCTGAACACCTGCCCTCTAGTCCCCTACCCTGCTCTGTGTTTCTCCATTGTGCTTATCGGCCTGGTATTAGATCATATATCCGATTATTGATTGTATCTGTCTTCCCTGCTCAGACACGGAGCTCCATAAGGACAGGACTCTTCTGTGCATCTGTGTGGGGGTGAAGGAGTGGGGGGGGGTGCTTATCACAATGACAGGGGTGCTGGTGGCGTTTGGGGGCGGGGGCAGAGACAGCCCCACAAGGCAGGCAGATTCTACATCCTGCAGGACATGAGTAAAAACTTGTTTACAATGACCAGAGCCAAGAATCTTAACTGCCTTTTATATATAAACACAAAGGACTGGTAGACACATACTCTGAATCTTCTGGGAACGCAACTGCTCTGTAAAAAGGGAGGAAATCTGCCCTCGGTCTTGTTCAGAACTTTACCAAGAGCCCTTCACCGTGTCAGACAGTGACACCACCGCAATGTCCCAGCACCTTAGAGCTGTCTGCACTCAGAGCTGTCCCCTGCCGGCAATTGACCACATCACAAATACATAACATTACCTTTTCTTTCTTTCATATTATGTTGTATTTTTCATTAGATGTGGAGGTGGGTATATTAGCCGTAAATTTCATTTCAGGGCCATAAAAGGAGGAATACAAAGTATCCTAAAAAGGCCACTTTGGGTCTGACTGGGTGGAGAGCCATGACCTTGAATGGCCCCATGGAAGGCTAGTTGGGAGCTTAGGCTCTGAAGTTTGAATCCAGACTCCACCCCTTACAGCCACATGACCACACATACTTGCTTAACCTGAGCCTCACTGTCCTCCTCTGTAAAATGGGAGTCGTGCTACAAACTACACAGGATTACCAGGAGGATCTGAAGGTGAAGCGTGCACATAGCACTTAGCCCAGTACCAGGTACCGGGAGGGCACTCAGTATCGTAACTGTTATTGTTCATTGTGCAGACTTCACTGTGCCCTCTTCCCAGCAGCTGTCCTGGGGCTAAGGGGCATTCAGAGGACTGGGCAGGTCTAAGGAGGCCATGAGTTAGTCACCTTCTCCCCTCCATCTAAGACCTAATCAGCTCCTGAACCCCTCAGTGGGGAGGCCTCCAGTGTCAGGAATAGAGCAGGCAAGGCAACCCCCAGCTTGGCCACTGGGGGAGGGAGCAGAGTCATGTCTTGCATGGGGTTTTGAATATGCCACCCCCCGCCCCGAGATCCCTCCCAGAGGCTCTGGGCCTCTCAGTCCCCTGACCTCCCATCCATACCCATCTTGGGGCGCCTGCGTGGCTCAGTCGGTTAAGCGTCTGACTCTTGATTTCAGTCGGCTCAGGTTATGATCTCACAGATTCGTGAGATGGAGCCCTGCATCAGGCTCTGTGCGAACAGTGAGGAGCCTGCAAGGGATTCTCTCTCTCCCTGTCTGCCCCATCTGTGTACACCCACGTGCCCTCTCTTTCTCTCTCTCTCAAAATAAACATGAAAACAATTTAAAAAGAAAAAAGAAAGACCTGTCTTAAATTCTTTCATCAAGGGGGAAAAAAAAAAAAGACCTGTCTTTCCTGTGTTTCATCTTCAAATCACTCTCTGCGCCTCCCAAGGTGACAAATCTCAAGTGTCACAGGCTGACTTGAAAGCAGTGAGGCACCCAACACGTGGGCAGGTGGGCATGCCTCATGTCAGAGGCCGGCAGACAGGGAGGAAGTCAGCAGGTGGACAAGTGGGATGCAAGCCAGGCAGGCGAGCAACGGATAAGGAGAGATCCAGGCAGCACAACAGGGAGGCGGGCGGCTGGGAATGCCCACAGGCTGGCAGGCAGAGCGGGGCAAGGCAGAAACGCAGATAGGCAGGTGGCCAGGAGGGCATGGGGGCTGCGGGGCGTGGCCTTTGGGCACACCCCCCAGGGCCTCCAGGAGCAGCCCTCGGCCTCTTTTGAACTCTCCAGGGCAAGGCTGCTACTTCTCCCACCTGGCCCGGCTTGGCCACTTGCCTCCCCGCTCGGGAAGGCAGCGCTCCGGGACCAGGAACCATCTCAACCCCCCCGCTCTGCTCCAGCTCAGCCACCAGCTTCACCAGGGCTGGGTCACGCCTGACCCGCTCCAAACACACGTCCCACACCAACCCAGATACAGACCCCTGTGTCCGCAGGTAGCGATCCCCAGAGATCTGGACGGCACAGCCTAACACAAACATACCCCAAATCTGAGAGTGTCCTCACAGATCCAGGAGACGTGTACGTGGAGTCCCATGAAGATGCACGTGCTAACGGAGGCAGCATGTCCTCAACACACAGGGGCGGTCACAGAAGCACTGTGGCTGCACACAGCAGTATTCACGTGGGTGGAGGCCAGTCTACATGTCAGCGCATCCGTGGAAACCCACCGATACCACAGCCAGTGGTTGGATTCTGGCCTCACCCTCGCCCCTGGGCCCTGTGTGACACGGCTAATCTTAGTCCTAGCCTGCTCACCCTCCCACCTCACTGGTCCCTCCTGACTCCTCCTCCTGACAGCCCTAAAGGTTGCAGCTTCAGTGGCTTACTTCTTCCCTCCCTGCCCCAGAGGTGTTCAATCCATCTTCTGTGTTGAGGGCTCTCAAACGCACGTCCGCCCAGACTCCTGGAGGCTTCCAAGATCTGCCACCTCCCCCGGGTGTGGGGGGGACATCTCAGATCTCACAATCTAACGTGAAACTCTGATTCGCCCAAACTTGCTCCCCACACGGGCTGCCCTCCAGTGTTCAGGCCCAACATCAAGCTGTCCTACGTTTTCCTTCTTGTCCACATCCAGTGCAGGGATTGTGAAGACCGCTTGAGGGTGATGCCCTCACCTCCTCCAGGGGGCCTTCCGGGCCAAGCCCTGGGTACTGTTTGATCAGATGGGTGCAGCAGCTCACTGCTCCCCCTGCCCTGGCCCACGCTACACTGAGCCCCCACAGGGATCTCTCCAAAGCACATCAGGAACCATGATGCTCCCCTGAGACTCTCAAGGTTCCCCACCACAATGACAGTAAAGTCCAAGCACCCTCACTGCACCCCAAGGCAGTCTCGCCTCCGAGCTAGCCCTCACTCCTGTCGGGACACTCTCCCCACAAATCCCAGGGGTGGCAGGATTCGGGCCTCCCCTCGGGCGCCCTCCAGGTGTTCACCACCCTCGGAGAGCTTAAGAGACTACCTTTATCATGTAACGTCTGTCTCTCCGCCTTCTCTGTCTCTCCGCCTTCTCCTCCTTTCGATGAAGGCAGGAGATACAACACTAAGGTGGACAGGCACATACACAGGTACGGGCAGAAATGCCTCCAGGCACACACACAAAACACTCAGGAGTCCTCTCCCACTCCCATGGGAGCCAGTCCTCCCTTTCTCCATGGAGATCTGCCCTCGGCTTGAACCCAGTCTCCGGACTGGGAGTGGGGGGGTCTCCAGCCCCGGACAGAGAGAGGGGGGTCACCAGCCCACAGGCCTCAGGCCGAGCCTTCAGCTATGCCTGCAATTTCCTCTCCCCCTTCCTTCCCTCCTCCTCTTGGAGGCTCCCGCCAAGCCAAGAAGGCCTCCCCCTCACCCCAAGCCCCAACACAGGAAGGGGGGCCCGGCAGGGGGGGGCTGAGAGTCTGAGCAGGAAGAAGACCCAGGCTGCGCACACACGCACACGCCGATCACACGGCACATTGCACGCACGCGCCCTGAGCCCAGGCGCACATGGATGCGGGCGCATCGGCAGGTTTATCCCCGAGCCGCATGCATCGCTGCCGCCTGCATCGCTGCCGCCTGCATCGCTGCTGCCTGCTCTGCCGCAGAAGCGCACAGGGGGCCGGAGTTCCAGGCTGCGCTCTGCAAGGCCGGCCGGCGCCTGGCTCCCAGCCCGAGTCCAGCATTCATTAACCCTGTGTGACTAGAGCTCTGCCAGCTGGACACACTCACCCAGCCTGGGCCCTGGGGGGAGGGCGTGAGAGCCCTGTCCGTTGTTGAGGATCCGGGGGAGGATTGGGAAAAGGAGGCAATCCTCCCTGGGCGAGGGGGCCCCCTCGGAGGAAGAGCAAGGTGTAGAGAAGGGGTTGAGAGCTCTAGGGGCAGAGAGCAGTGGATTCAAATCGTGACCGTCTGGGAAAATTATTCAATCTCTCCGTGACACGCTTTACTTATCTGCCAAGTGGCGACAATGGTATTCAGGTTACAGGGTTGTTAGAATTAAATGAAAGACTATTATAAAGGGCGCACACACACACACACACACACACACACAGTGGCACCTAGGCTGAACTCCATCCTATCATTATTTTTGTTATTAGTAGCTTGGGGGCGGGACCCTGCCACCGGCCTCCCCAGCGGTTTCCTGTGCGGGAGCCGACGGCCCCGCGGGCCTCGCTCCCCCTCCTCCCAGGCGCTCGCTCCTCTCCCCTTCCTCTCCCGGCCCTTTTCCTCCCCGCCTCCCCCCGCCCCGCCCCGCCCCGCCCCGCCCCGCCCCTTTCCTCCGAGGAAACTTTCCGCCGGCTGGTCCATCGGCCCGTGTCCGGCCCGCGCTGCCGCGTCCTGGGAGCCGAGACGGGCGGGCGGGGCGGCCGGGACCGGACGGGGCGGGAGCGGCCGGGTCTGGGGTGTATGCGGCGGCCGGACGCGCCGGGGCCGGCGGCGGGGAAGCGGGGCGCTGACGGTGAGCGAGTCGGGGCCTCCGGGCCGGCGGGGAAGCGGGGCGGGCTGGATGGGTGGGGGAGGCGGCCTCCCCTCCCGGGAGCCCGCCCTGGGAGTGGGAAGGCACTCATGTCTCTCTTCTCCATCCCACTACCGGGACGGCGAAACCGGGCCTCATTTGGGGACCCCCGCGCGGGGGCGGAGTCTTCTACGGCCCAGTCCCCTGACCCACCAAGTTAGAGGGGCGTCTGCGCCCTGGGAAAGGACCCCCCAGGCAGGGCCCAGGTCTGTAACAAACTTAGAGAGCTGCTCTCTGCAAGGCCGACCCTAAGGCTGCTCTTCCAGGGAGAGGAGCTGCCCGCAGCAAGCGGGGTCAGGGGCAGCTCCGGGCTGGGGATCGGGATCTGACCTTGCTGACCTCGCAGGCTGACAGGGGGGCTGCCCTTTCGCCCCCGGAGCAGCATGGATGCCCCCCGAAGGGACATGGAGTTGCTCAGCAACAGCCTGGCGGCCTACGCACACATCCGCGGTGAGGGCGGGCCCCCGGGGGGGCGTGGGCTCCTCCCTGCCCCTCTGAGGCCCCACTCCACCCCTTCCCTCTCTACCTCCCTGCCCCCCACTGCCCGAGGGCGGCTACCTACTGTCTTTCAAATACGGAGTACCGTCCTGGGCCCCCAGCTGAGAAGCTGGGGTGCTTCCGAAATGGACCGACTCCCGCCCGTCAGGGAACCGGGGCTCCTGCGTGACTTCTGCCCTCTGACCCCCAGCTAACCCGGAGAGCTTCGGCCTCTACTTCGTGCTGGGAGTCTGCTTTGGCCTGCTGCTAACCCTGTGCCTACTAGTCATCAGCATCTCCTGTGCGCCCCACCCGCGGCCCCGGGCCCCTGCTCCGCGCCGGGACCCCCGCAGCAGCACCCTGGAGCCCGAGGACGACGACGACGACGAAGAGGACACGGTGACGAGGCTGGGCCCCGACGACACGCTGCCAGGCCCGGAGCTGTCCGCTGAGCCCGACGGGACCCTGAGCGTCAACGTCTTCACGTCGGCGGAGGAGCTGGAGCGCGCGCAGCGCCTGGAGGAGCGGGAACGGATCCTGAGGGAGATTTGGCGCACCGGACAGCCGGACCTGCTGGGTACTGGCACGCTGGGACCCAGCTCCACGGCCACAGGCACCCTGGGTCGTATGCACTATTACTGACCAGCCCCGCTCCCGCTGCAAGGCACTCTGAGTATTGGACAGACGCATGAACCCCAGGACGTTGGAACGGCCCCTGCCCACGGTGCTATGGAGGCCCCACCCCCACACCTTCCCCAGTGCTATTGCGCATGGATCCCCACCTTCCGGGGCCCCCAGTCCTGCCCAGAAAGCCCTTGGGGGAGGACAGGACACAGGATCCCCAGCCCCTCTCTGGGACCAGTTAAGAGATGAAATGACCAATGAAAACGGCATTCTCAGTGACTCAGTCTCCCTCTGTTACTCCTGCCCCCAATGTCCTCCAGGCTCTTGCCGTGCGGAGGGGCGGGGCCCAGGGTTGAGACCCCACTCGACTTTTACCAGGCTGACCACCTCCATCTACCCACCCAACACCTCAGCACACATGCTTGCATTCAGTTCGCAGACTGCAAAAACACACACTCCACCACCTCACCGCCTCACGCGCAAAGAACAAGTTATCACTCGCATTCTTTCCTCACAGATGCATTCCTCACCGCCGAAGGCCTGGGCACACTTTGCCCCTGTCCCTACAAATGCTCTGCAATCCTGCATCATTGCAGTCGCACGCGCACGTCCGCACACACACCAGGCCCCAGGACCCCCGACCTTGACGCCAAGGCACTGTTAGCCCCAATGTTAATCATGTGTGCCTGAGCTGGGCTCTGGAGTTCGTGTCTGAGCAGAGGTACGTTTCAGTGAGTCCAGTGGGGCCAACTGGGAGGGGTCAGGGCTCGAAAGCTGTCCCGCCCTGCTCCTCCTCTGGCGCACAGCTGGATTCCGGAATCCGGGCCCGCGGGCAGGGTCCGACCCCGCCTGGGCCCCTCCTGCCGGCCATTTCTCTAGCACCCGGCAGACGTCCGAAGGAGACGCCCCCCACCCACCCCCGCCATCCGGTGGATAAAAATAGCCGCGCGCAGGCCTTGGGAACGGTAATGGGAGCCACATGTTGGCCAGATGTGCCCGGGAGAGACCGCCAGGAATGCGGAGGGCCGGCCGCGCGGCCCCGCCCCCGCCACGCAGGCCCTGCCCCCGCACGGACCAAGCAGGCGCCCCGAGCGCGTACACTGCAGTTTACTTTCTTGTGTTTCCCAAAGTCGTGTGCGAGGACGTGGGTGGCCGGAGTCTGACGTCCCCCCAGGTCCCGCCATTGTCCCCCTCCCGAGCCCACCCTCAGTGCGTCTGCGTCTGCACGTGCATGGTGCCCCAGGTCCGGGACTTCTGGGTCCCCTGCTTCATCTGCGCCTAGTCGGGAGAGGGTGTCAGGAGAGGCGGTCAGGGGAGGGCCCCCCTGCCCTCCCCCACCCCCCGGGATCCGCACCCCACCCACCTCCAGCAACAGGCGCTTCTCCTTCTCGCTCTTCAGTTCCTCCCAGATGTCGGTCAGCTTCCTCCTGCGGACCGAGACCGAGGGGAAGGGGTGGGCTGGGCAGCCTTAGAGCCCCCGCCTCCCTCCCTGCCCTCCCTCTCCCCACTTACTCCAGCTGCACCCCCATCTGCTCCAGCGACCTTCTTAAAGACTCCACCTCGTCCTGTAGCCTCATTATATCGCCTCTGTCACTTCTGCTGCCCGTGAGATTTTGCGGGATCGGGGAAAGTAGGGTGGGAGTCTCTTGGGGGTCCGGAGTCGACTTGATAGGATGAGTATTCTTTTGAACTGCAGCTACCTCTTTGGGGAACTCCTCTTTTAGGGGCACCTCCTCTTTAGGGGGCGCCGCCTCCTTCTGGGTAGCCTCAGGCTGCCCTGGGGCCTCCTGGGCAGGCATGGACTCTGGCTGGGACTCACACTGGAATGGGGGGCCGTCCCTCTGATCCAGAGGGTGTGTCCTCATGCAGAGGTCAGGCTCCTTTAGCATATGGACCTCTTGGGATTGAGCCTCATTGGCCGCAAGAGACTTGAACTTCAGCAGGGCTTGCTCCGGAGAGAAGTGATGGAGCTGAGTGTTATCTCTGGCGCAGGTCTCTTCAGAGAGCGCCTGCTCAGGGGTCAAGACCTTCTCTAGGGTGGGGGCCTCGTCCTCAGGCAGGGCCATCTTTAGGCCAAGGGCTTCATCCTCAGGTGGGACGTCCAGGGCAGGGACTTCATCCACAGAAATCATGTTGTCTGGGCTGGGAGCCTTGTCCAGAGTCAGGCTCTCCTCTGGGGTGGGGTTCTCTGGGGTGGGGCCCTTGAACTCCAGAGTCAATGCCTCCTCTGAGATGGGGACCTTCTCTGGAGTCAGGGTTTCCTCTGGAGTGGAGGCCTTATCTGGAGACAGAGTCTTCTCCGGGCTGGGGGGCTTGTCCAGAGTGGGGGTCTTATTCACAGGGGAGGCCTTTGCTAGGCTGCTCTGCAATTCCTCCTGTGGTGATGGGGGCGAGGTTCCAGCTGAGGGATGGGTACCTGGACAGTTTGAGTCAGGTCCCCCTCGGCCTGGGATCCTTCCCCCATGTACACCACACCCCTGGAAACCAGGCCCTGCCCAGCAGTCCCGCTCTCCTGCGTCTGGGGGCCTCTTACCTGACTGGTGGCAGAGCGCCGCTGGGAAGCCTGGGTTTTCGATCCCTTTCTACCAGGGTGGCCTGGACCCCTGCTGAGGAAGCTGCCACTGGAGCCTATGAGAGCAGAACCTCAGGGGGGCAGGCTCCTCCCACTCTGGGTCTTTCCCCATCTGTCCTTCAGCACAAACCCCCTTCCTTGCCCCACTCCCAATGGAGGGGGCTCTGCGAGGCCTACCTGAGTCGCGGGAGAGGCGGGAGAGGCGCTTCTGACCATCTCCAATGGGTGTCCGAGGTGGCCTGGAACAGACCACCATCAGACCAGGAGGTGGGGGGCAGGGAGCAGCATTTCCTTTGTGCCCTCCTCCCCGCACCCCTACCCTGGCTCCTTACTTGGCTTTGCTGGGCCCAGTGGAGGCTGTCACCAGCTTCTTGACTGTAGGGAGGGCTGCTTTGGGCATCATCGTTTTTGGTTCCTTAATAGGAGCTGTGAGGGAAGAAGGGAGTGTGGCAGCCATTCACTCCCTCATCCATTCATCTAACGGTTGGTGGCCCTGTCCTGTGCACAGGGGACTAGGGACAGGAGATGAACATTTGACTCTGCCTCCTCAGAACTTGGGGGGAGCCTACCACCCTCATGCCACGTGGGCACGGGGAACCAGGGGAGACACCTGAAGGGGCATCAGGCTTAGAAGACAGTTGTCAGGGAAGGCTTTGGAGGGGACATGCTTTCATTTCCTGCCCATTTTTTATCCATACTTTTTTTTTTTTTTTTTTTAAGTAATCTCTGTACCCAACATGGGGCTCAAACTAACCCCAAGATCAAGAGTTGCACGTTCTACTGACTGAGCCGGCCAGGCGCCCCGATCCGTACGTCTCCAAGACCTGTCTCCTGCTCAGTGCCCATGGCTGTCCCCCTGGGTCAGACGACATCCTTTTCTTGGATCACAGCAATCGCCCAATCCAGTCTACCCTCTCTAGAACGTCTCTGTCTTCTCTATCTCACTTACACCTAAGAGACCTCACCCAGTTTGATGAATTCAATTAGCAACAAGCAGCCAATGACTCCCACGTTTTCATCTCTAGCCCCTGAGCTACAGCTTCATATCCAGCTGCCCTCTCTGTTTCCAGCTGGGGAGCTAAGTGGCATCATACACTGAACGTACCCCAAACTGAGCTCTGACTTCTCATCCTCCAAACCCACCTCTTTTCAGTGTCCCCTCACACACTTGCCCACTTGCTCAGATGACAAAATGCGTCATTGCTGACCTCTTTCATTCCCTTATGCTGCACAACCAAACCAGCAGCACATCCCGACTGCTCTACCTTCAAAACATCCTGAATTCAATCACTTGTCACCACGTCTGCCCCTAGCGCTCCAGACCCAGGCATCAACCATCTTCACCCAGACCACAGCAGCAGCCACCACCCTGCACTCTGGCTTGCGCTCCCCCTGCCTGCAGCACCTTCCCACAGCAGAGTGAGCTCAGGTTCCAACGCCTGGGCGGCTCAGTCGGGTAAGCATCTGACGTTGGTTCAGGTCACAATCTAATGTTTTGTGAGTTCGAGTCCCGCACTGGGTGAGCCCTGCTTCTCTCTCTCTGTCCCCTATAGGATACTTTGTGTCTCCCTCACTCTCTTTCTGCCCCTCACTCACTTGCATGCCCCCCTCAAAAAAAATTAGCTCAGTTTCTAGTGGGGAAGCAGACATAAGCAAAAGTAGAATATGCAATGTGTTAGAGAGTTATTAGGTAATACTGAGGAAGAATAAGCAGAGGAGTGTCAATTTTATTTATTATTTTAAGTTTATTTATTTATTTTGAGAGAGAGAGAGAGCATGAGCAGGGGAGGGGCAGAGAGGGAGAGGGAGAGGGAGAGGGAGAGAGAGAGAATCCCAAACAGGCTCTGCACTGTCGGTGTACAGGCTGATGTGGGGCTTGAACCCACGAACCATGAGAGCATGACCTGAGCTGAAACCAAAGGTCAGATTATTAGCGGACTGAGCCATCCAGATGCCCCAGGAATGTCCATTTTAAATGCGGTGGTCGGAGAAGGCTACACTGATGTCATGAAGGTGACATCAGCGTGAACACACACACAGTGACATTCATATTCATGGACACATGACCAGCCACTCTGGCACATGAACACATTCTGGTATTTAGTCACACACGCAGTGTCACACACAGGTACACACACAAACCCCAACATTGTGCAGAGTGGGTTAGAGCGTGGGTCCTGTAGCCAGACACCAGGCTTTGATATCCTGCTCCGTTATGTGCTGGCTGTGTGAAAACTGGGCTACATAACTTAACCTCTCTGCGCCCCACTATCTCGTCCATCCAGTATGCATGCGGTAGGGTTATTGTGAGCTTTGGAGGACTTCATTCACCTGAGGCGCTTAGAAGAGTATTTGGCTTACAGTCAAGGCTCAGTAAATGTCAACTTTGACTTCAGTCCCTCGTACTTTGGCTGATTAGGTGCTTAGTAGGGCCCTCCCACTAGAGAGCAATTATAGGCTCCTTTGGGGCACCTGGGTGGCTCAGTTGGTTGAGCGTCCGACTTAAGCTCAGGTCACGATCTCATGATGTGTGGGTTTGAGCCCCGTGTCGGACTCTGTGCTGACAGCTCAGAGCCTGGAGCCTACTTCAGATGCTGTCTCCCTCTCTCTCTCTGCCCCTCCCCCTCACACTCGGTCTCTCTCTCTCTCTCAAAAATTAAAAAAAAAAAACATTTAAAAATTTTAAAAAAAGATAAAATTTGAGACACTGGTGGAACCCAAAGAGGTGGGGGGGATCCATTAGAAAGGAGGGACCTGAGGCCAGAAAGGTAGGGGGAAGGCAGCACTACTGTGACTACGGAGCCTGTGCCTGTGATGAGCAGATACCCCAGGGTGTCTCCCCAGGATGTGGGTGCCCCCACGCACCCCAAGTTTGGTAGCTACACAGCAGTGAGCCCTTTCTTCTAGAAGGCTGAAGTGATCTCTACTGGTTGGTGCCCTGTAGCTACTGTGGGAGTAGAAGCAAGTCCTGTCTGGAGGAAACCTTCCCCTAACGAGGCATACAGAACTCACTCGGGTTGGGATCGAGTCATGAGCTCACACACGAAGATCATAAAACACACGAGAAAGCGAGCCCCCGGGAATGGGCATCAGCGGCCACACCACACAGCAGATACTGGGGTTGTCGGAGAACATGGTCGTGCAACACGCGCACGAAACAAAGGGATCATCAGGAATAAACAGGCAAATGTGGGAGGGCGGGGAAAGAAAACTGAAACCGCCAGAGATGCAAAACAGCGTTCTTGAAATAAATCCAATGCAATATAGGTTAAATAGCAGACTCAACCCAAACAGCTGGGAGAGCTGGTAAACGGGAAGCACAGTGAGACAAGGAAGAGAAAATCTGCGAGCAGGGGTAAAGGAGCAGGTAATGACAGGGGTCTGAGTGCGGCCGAATGAAGGGGCAGACAAATCCTCGCTTGAAAGGCAACTAGAAAGCTGGACAAAACCACCATTTCCGTGCCCTGGAAATGGACCAAAGGCATGAGGTGATCTGAGAAGCATTTATGCTTGATGGCGTCCTTGCCCACGACCGCACCCGTCCCTGTCCCCTGCCTCTGCGGCGTCGGCAGGCTGCCACGGTTGGCAGCTTCAAGGCCATGATGGAAGGGAGGTCACTCGATTTGGGGTGAAACCTGGGACTTGGCCCTGGTTTCGTAGATACAACACCAAAAGCACAAATAACCAAAGAAAAATAGGGAAGTGAGACTTCATCAAGTTGTAAAACCTTTGTGTATTAAAAGGTACCATTAAGAAAGTACAAAGAGGGGCGCCAGGGTGGCTCAGTCGGTTAAGCGTCTGACTTCAGCTCAGGTCATGATCTCACGGTTCGTGGGTTCGAGCCCCGTGTTGAGCCCCGTGCTGACCGCTCAGAGCCTGGATCCTATCTTTGGATTCTGTGTCTCCCTCTCTCTGACCCTTCCCTGCTCGCTCTCTCGCTCTCTCTCTCTCTCTCTCAAAAATAAAACATTAAAATTAAAAAAAAAAGAAAGTACAAAGAGAGCCAACAGGATGGGAAAAAATATGTGCAAAGTATGTGTCCGATAAGGGACTTCGCTCAAGATACCTATAAACCCCACAGGTTGGGGCAGCTGGATGGCTCTGTAGGTTAAGCATCTGACTCTCGATCTCAGCCCAGAACATGATCTCACAGTTGTGAGATCGAGCCCTGGGTTGGGCTCCATGCTGAGCGAGGCGCCTGCTTGGGCTTCTCTCTGTCTCTGCCCCTACCCACCTCTCTCTCAAAATAAGAAAATAAACATTAAAAAATATAAAACTTCTGTAAGGCAAATAACCCAACTAAAAAATGGGCAAAGGATCCAAACAGTCATTCCTCTGAGAGAAGATATATAAATTGTCAGTAAACATATGAAAAGACAGTCAACATCTAACATGGCAGAGAGAGGTAGAGCAGAACCATAATGAGACACCACGTCACGCGGACCAGGATGATCATCATAAAAAGGACAGTGACAAGTACTGGGGAGGATGCGGAGAAAGTAGGACCCTCGTGCCCTGCTGGTGGGAACAGAAAGTGGGACTAGCGGGAACAGAAGGTGGCAAACAGTCTGACCGTTCTTCCCCACGCTGAACACAGAGCTATCACAGCACCCGGAAATCACCATCCTAGGCATACACCCAAGAGAAAGGGAAACAGGACAACGCAAAAACTAGTACACAGATGCCCGGGCCCCCAAAAGTAAAAACCACCTCAGTGTCCACCAGCGAACACGTGGATGAAACGTGGTACATTCACACAACGGGATATATCGGGCAACCAAAAGGAATGAAGTACAGCACAAACCAGGAAAATGGATGAACCTTGAAAACAAAAGTTACGATAGAAAAGGTGTCTTTTAAGTAGTTGAATATATGAACAAGTCTTGATGAGACTGAACAAGGAAAAAGAGGAAAAACTGATTAGAAATGAAAACAAAGACTAAGTACAGATACAGATTATAAGGGAATATTATGACTTTATGCAAACAACTAGAAAATATTGGTAAAATGGATAATTACAAGTATAAGTCATTGAAACAGATTTAAGAATTTTAGCCAGATTTTTGGTCAGCCATCATTACCCAGGGACCAGGGGATAGAACGCTGTCTGTGCAAGGCTCCTAAAATGCAAGATTTTCTCCCACCTGAGTTTCAAGGTTCAAGCCATTTGAACAGCAGTTAAGCGTCCAACTTCACCTCGGGTCATGATCTCACGGTTTGTGGGTTCAAGCCCCGTGTCAGGCTCCATGCCGACAGCTCAGAGCCTGAAGCCTGCTTTGGATTCTGTGTCTCCTTCTCTCTCTGCCCTTCCCCCACTGGCCCTCTGTCTCTCTCAAAATACCTCTCAAAAATAAATAAAAATTAAAAAAAAACAGAGATGATGTCAAACTCTCTTAAGGCCCTAACCCAATGACTGCTGTTCTTATCAGAAGAGGAAAATTTGGACACAGACACACCGTGCAGAAGACAATGTGAAGACAGGCAGAGAACAGTGATAGACAGATCTAGAAGCAAAGGACTGCCACAGCTGCCAGAAGAATCTAAGAGGCAAGGAAAGATGCTTCCCCTAGAATCTTCACAGAAAGGGGCACCTGGCTGGCTCAGTCTGTGGAACGTGCAACTCTTGATCTTGGGGTTGTGAGTTCAAATCCCACATTGGGTGTAGAGATTACTTAAAAATAGAAATATTTTTTAAAAAATAGAATCTTCACAGAAAACATGGCCATGCCAACATCTTGATTTCAATTTCTATCTCCCAGAACTGTGGGAGATTAAATTTCTGTTGTTTCAAGCCAAACAAAACATAACAAAGAAGGAAAGGAAAGGATTTTAGCCAAACTTCCCTATAACTATTAAAGGAAATTGAAGTAGTTTAAAATCTTCCCATAATAGAGAAAAAAAAGGGCCAGATGCATTTACAGGCAAGTTTTACCAAGTCTCAAGGAATGATGATTTCTATCTTTAAAAAAAAAATCGTTTTAAAGTAAACTCCACCCCCAATGTAGGGCTTGAATCACAACTCCAAGATTGACTTGCATGCTCTACTGACTGAACTGGCCAGGAGCCCACACGATGATTCCCATCTTATAGAAGATCTACCAGATAATTAAAAAACAAAATGTATACCCCTTAACCCATTCATGGGGCCAGTGTAATAGTCATAATCAGATGAGGAAATAAAAATAAATGCAAAAATCTTAAGAAAAATTGGGATAGCATCCCAACAGTGTAAGAAATGATAAAACCATAACCAGTTTGGGGGCGCCTGGGTGGCTCAGATGGTTAAGTGTCCAACTTCCGCATAAGTCATGATATCACAGTTCATGAGTTTGAGCCCCGCGACAGGCTCTGTGCCGGCAGCTCAGAGCCTGGAGCCTGCTTTGGATTCTATGTCTCCCTCTCTCTCTGCCCCACCCCTGCTCACCCTCTGTCTCTCTCAAAAATAAACAAACATTAAAAAAAAAAACGACCAATTTGAATTTATCCCAAGAATGCAAGAGCAGCTTAATATGAGAACATTCTACAAATGTCATGTATCACATTGGCAGATTAAAGGAGAAAACCCAGAGGATCATTTTAAAACATTCATATAAATAATCTGAAAAAACTCAACACATACTTTTTTTATTAAAATAATTTTTTATGCTTATTTATTTTTGAGAGAGAGACAGTGTGAGCGGGGAAGGAGCAGAGAGAGAGGGAGACACAGAATCTGAAGCAGGCTCCAGCTCTGAGCTGTCAGCACAGAGCCCAACACGGGGCTCAAACTCACGAACCGTGAGATCCTGATCGGAGCCAAAGTGGATGTTCCACGGACCAAGCCACCCAGGTGACCCTCAACACATACTCTTGATAAAAATTCTAAATAAACTAGAAATAGAAAAGATCTTTCTTAGCTTGACAAAAAACTATCTAGGAAAAGCTCTAAGTATCGTTGTTAAAGGAGAAAAGTTGGAAACATTCCACTTAAAATCAGAACATGGTAATGATGTTCAACATAACCACTTTTATTCAATAGTGTATTGAGCTGCTAGCCACTATAGTAAAATGAGAAAATAAAATGAAAAGACATAGGAGTAGAAAAGATAGAGCAAAATTGTCATTAGTGACAGATGACATGATTGTCTTCACAGAAGACTTACTAGGAATCCACAGATAAACTATGAGAAATAATAAGAGTTTAGCACCGTGGCTGGCTATAAAATCAATATACAAAAATCAAAGCATTTCTATATTCCTGAAATAAACAGAAGGATATCTAATCTTTTTAAAAGTACAATTAAAAATCTGGGTTATTTAGAAATAAATTTTATAAAAGCTGAGTAAAAATCACATGCAGAAAATAATAAATGATGCTGGAGCAACTCCTTGCCCATATGGAAAAAGCTATAAATGGGTCACTCATTAAAAATCAATGCCACAGAGATGAAGGCACTTACAAACAAAAAGCAATGCTTCAAAGGTTTTAAAGAAACATAAATGAGGGGTGGCTGGATGGCTCAGTTGGTTAAGCGTCCGACTTTGGCTCAGGTCATGATCTCAAGGTTCATGAGTTCGAGCCCCACATCAGGCTCTTTGCTAACAGCGCAAAGCCTGCTGGGGACCATTTCTTTCCCCCTCTCTCTGCCCCTTTCCCACTCACACTTTTTCTCTCTCTCTCTCTCAAAATAAATACAATAAGCTTAAAAAAAAGAAATATCGGGGCGCTTGGGGGACTCGGTTGGGCGTCCAACTTCAGCTCAGGTCATAATCTCGCAGTCCAGTCTGTGGGTTTGAACCCCATGTTGGGCTCTGTGTTGACGGCTAAGAGCCTGGAGCCTGCTTCAGATTCTGTGTCTCCCTCTCTCTCTCTCTCTCTTTGTCCCTCCCCCACTCACACTCTGTCTCTCTCTCTGTCAAAAATAAATAAACATTTAAAAAATATATGTTAAAAAAATTATATGTATAAATGACGGTTTTTCTGAACTTGGAGCAGGAAGGATTTCTTAGACAAGGAAAAACCTGCTAACCATTAAAGACTGATGTTTGCATTAAAATTAAGAACTCCTGCTCATCAAAGAACGGCATTATACAAAAAGAGACAACAAACCACAATGAGAGAAAACATTTGTGAGGCATATAACCCGCAAAAGACAGTTTATATAATGAACTCCAGCTAATTAGAACTAACCAGGAAAATAAAAGCAAATTAAGTCCACAAGGAGATTCTCTTTTTTACCTACTAGATTCACACACACACAAAAGTAAAATCTGATAATCCCTCTGTTGAAGAGGGTTTGTATTAACAGGATCTCATATACCAACAGTGGAATGTTAAAGTGTACAATCGCTTTGAAATCCAAAACGACTTTATGTCATAAACGTTGAACATTGACGCACCCTATAATCTAGAAGTGCCTGTCCTACGTTTATATCCTAGAGAAATGATTGTACCTGCCCGCCAGAACACAGGCTCAGGAATGCTCATGGCCGCCCTGTTTGTTGTAACAAAAACTAGAAATAATAAAAGAGATCAGATACATACATAAACTGTGGTAAAGGCCCTGCAAGGAATATTATACAGCAGAGAAAAATTCGTGAATTTGCATCTACATCAACACAGATTAATCTTAGAAACATTATGTTGGTTGGAAACCACAACTCCCAGACAACTATAAACAAGATATCATTTTTATCAAGCTCATAACAAGTAAAATTAATTAAGCAATACAGGGGCGCCTGGGTGGCTCAGTCGGTTAAGCGTCCGGCTTCAGCTCAGGTCAGGATCTCAGGGTTCATGAGTTCGAGTCCCATGTCAGGCTCTGTGCTGATGGCTCGGAGCCTAGAGCCTTCTTTGCACTCTGTGCCTCCCTTCTCTCTCTGCCCCTCCCCTGCCCACACTCTATGTGTGTGTGTGTGTCTCTCTCTCAAAAATAAACATAAAAATTTTTAAAATAAAATAAATTAAGCAATACATTATTTAGGCACAGACATAGATACAGAGGTAGCCCCTAAGGGGCTATAATTAATACTGAGCCACTGGAGAGCTATGGGTGTTTATGGGCAACTAAACTGGTTAGTTAGTTAGTTAGTTAGTTAGTTAGTTAGTTAGTTTAGTTGCCCATAAACAACGGAGAGCAAAATCCACAGAGAGCAAAATCCACCCAAACCCCATGCTTCCTGGGCACCCACCTGACTCCCGAGATGCCACTTTCCGTGGGATCAGCTTCTTGATCTGTGAGGAAGGAAATTATCAGAATCTGAAGAAAAGTCCCCACGTTTCTAGGTTCACCCTCATTTAGGGGTGACCTAAATGTCCACTGAACACCACAACCCCCAACTTCGTCCCGAGCAGCCTGCCCCCCACCACCTGAGTGCCTGGCTCCATACTCACTGGGGGTGGGGGGAGCACGAAGTTGTCTGGGAAGAGTCCTCTTCTGCCTTGAGACTCTCCTTCCCACCAGCCTTTATCCTCTGTGGTCTGGGAGAGCAAGACGCCATGGGGTGGTGAGCCAGAGCCCCAAGCTCCTTCCTTCCAGGGTGCCCGCGCTTCTCCGCGCACACCGTTCAGGACCACCTCCCCTGTCCTGTGCCTTTCATACCTTCCTCAGTACTTTCACCTCGTCTCCCCTCCGCAGCGCCAACTCATCTGGGGCCTCGGGCTGGTAGTCGAACAGCACCCTGTAGATCTCAGGGCGGGGTACTGAGGGGAGGTCAGTCCACTGAAGCCAACTCCTCTCCCCAGATCAGTCACCCGCTCCCTTCCACATCAGCCTAGTTGGGGTTCCCCCTTCCCCAAGTCAAGATGGCTCTCGGGAGGGGGTTCCGAGGAACCCTTTGGCTGGGTGCTCACCTGTCCGCAGGTAGTCTGGAGGGCTCTCATAGGTCAGGTTGCTCAGCTAATGGAGGAGGGGGAGGGAGGAAGACAGCTGAGCCTCCACCTCCCCAATAGGAACTCACCACTTCTGTGCCCACCGCACCCAGTTTACCTTGGGAGGCCGCTGGGGACCGGGGCTGACTGAAGGCATGTCTGGTTTCCCAAGGCCTGGTGGGGACAGTGAGGTTAGGGGCCTTGCTAATTCAGTTTAGATCATGGGAGAGGTCAAAGGGGTCAGAGGGTCAGGTTGTGTGGATCACAGGCTCGGGCCACTGGGAGGGTCACTGGAGATTGCAGTCTGGTCACAGGGGTTCTCAGGGTCACAGGGCGCAGGTCTCACTTGGGGGCCCACTGTCCAGCAACTCCACAAAGTTGGATGGGAAGGCTCCCAGCTGCCCGTTCTTCTTCCCCAGCCACCAGCCGTCCTCAATCTGGGGAGGAGGAGGACGCAGGACCATCTGGTTCTGCCCCAAGGGTCTCTCGAGAATTCTTCCCCCCTTTTTTCTGCCCCGATTCTGCCCGATGCCCACCTCCTCCTTCGCTCCCTCACTTTCCCATTCCTGCGCCCCTCACCATCCCCATCGCCCACACCCTCACTTCACACATCTCCCCGGGACCCACTCCAGCACCTCCAGCACCTCCAGCACCTGCGTCCAAAGCCTCTCAACATCACCTCGTCCCCTCACCTCCTTTATCACTTCCACAATCTCCCCAGCTTGCAGCTTCAGCTCGTCCGCCTGCTCCGGGCTGTAGTTGAAGTTCACCTTGCACCATCTTTGGGGGCCCCGAGATTTGGCGGGGCGACCTCAGGTCGGACCAGAGAGAGAGAGAGGCCTCTGGAACTGTGCGCCCCAGTTCACTGAGCTGGGAGAGGGGCGGGTCAGGAGCTCCCTAGCAGGCGCTCCAGGCCTCGCCCTAAGGCGGAGCATTGTACCCAAGAACCAATCACAGGCCGCAGAAGGCCGAGTGGCCCCGCCCAGAGCCGCGCCCGTCACGCCCCGCTAGGGGTGGCCGCAGCCGCGCAGGCCCCGCGCACCCGCCCACCCGGCCCGGCGCTTACCTCCGTGGCGCGCGCAGCGCGGTCTCGGCGCCTCTCCGGCGCCGCGCAGAGCCTCGGGGATCTCCTGGAAATGAGGACACGGAGACGTGGGGGCTCTCAGCTCCCGGAGGCGAGCGCTGAGACCCTCCTCCACCCGACCTGCGGCCCGGCCTCACCTGCACCGAGCGCTCGGGGAAGAGGCCACAACGACCCCGTAGCTCTCCGCGCAGCCAGCCCCGTGCGGGCCCCTCACACACCTGCCGGACCACGTCCCCGGGCGCCAGATTCAATTCGTCCTCCTTCTGCGCGCGGTATCCGGCCAGGACCAGCACCTCTGCGGGTGGAGGACCGGGCGGGGGTCTCAGAATGGCCGGTCCGGGCACACTGGCTTAGGCGAGAATCCCGGGCTCCGCGTGGAGGACAACGGGAGAGCGGGTCGGTGGTGTGGGCCATTTCCGCCACCCCAAACCCTCCACACATACCCATAGCTTCCGGGTCGCGCTCCAGAGCCGGCCGCTGGGAGGACAGCAGGAGTTATGGGCCCAGGTAGGGTGGGTGGGACGAGCTGCGAGGTTGTGAAGCGAAGGAGGCGGAGAAGCTAGCCGATAGGTCGGGCCCAGGGTGCTGGGAGTGGGTGTGGGAGAGGGGGCGGCCCGGCCCAGCAGGCTCGGCCCCCAACCCAGGGATGAGGACTCCAGGGTCTCTGGCCAGTGCTGGGGCCACAGCTCCCCCACGTGCTTACCCGGACCTAGTCACTTAAATTCCAGTCTAGCCGCCTCTACTCCCTCTGGCAGCGTAGGCCCTGGGGCTCCCACCCACCATTCGCGCAGAGCCTTCCCTGGCCTATCTTCTCCCCGCTGGCAAACTTTGAGGAGCAGGGGAAGAGGTGGGAGAGGCGCATACCAGGGTGGGGCCGCCAACGGGCTGCAACTGCTCTGAAGCAGGCCCCGGGTGGCAGGGGCGGCTGCTCTAGTGCACACAAAGCTTTAACTAGCATACTCCGAATCTCTGCTGTCCCTGGACCGACCGTTACCCCCACAGCCCCACTCCCAGGCCAAAGGAGGAGGGCAAAGACCCCAGTTTCCCGCCACCCAGTTCCTTTGGCTTCATAAAACACCCCCAGATTCTCCTTGGGAAGGGGCAAGAAAAAAGGAACTTCAGGAGCTTTTAAAGCTCCTGCCCAGAGCCAAGCCCGGAGCTGGTAAGGGCTCAAGTTTAGGGCCAATCTGATGCCAGTCCCACAGGGGCTGGGCTTTCAGGTAATCTTTCTGCTCCTGGCGAACACGGAAGGCTGAACCTGTCATCGACCAGCCCTTACCTTTGCCCCACCACTTTGGAAGCCAAAGTCCTTGCCCTTAACACCACAGTGGAAAAAAACCTGGTTCTCTTGGGATGTCCATGTTACAGGATGATGCAAAACCACTGGGGTGACCAGTTATTAGCCAGCGAAGGGTGGGAGTCTCCTCCCAGAACAACTGGGCATGGAGCTGATGAGACAGTGCAACAGTCTGGGCCCAGCCCTCAGAGACACGTTTTTGTCTTTCAGACTCCCTGAAGCTGCTGTGGCAAGTACCCAACCCCCCCCACACACACCCCCACACACACACACACACACTAAGGGTGACAATGACCAGAGTCCATTTACGTCTGCCTTCTTCATTTATTTTTTTATTTGCAGGAGGAGTTGAAACAAATTTTAAGGGTGTTTTCATTTTTTCCCCCTAAACATGAATCATTCAAGTAAAACCAACTTAACTATAGAAATGTAGCAAAGTAAGGGGAAAGAAGCACAACAACCCAAGAGGCAAAGGTTGGGGGTGGGGGGAAGAAGTGGGTGCAGTCCGCATATAACATATGCATAAATGCCATATGATTCACCTGCTCAGGACCGCCTCCCCAGAAGGCAAGCACAAGGACCCATTTTAAGAGGATGTTTTCCCCCCAAACATCCAAGAATGTTTCAACTTAAAGCTTAAGGTTAAAAGAAAAAAAAAAAGGAAAAGAAAAAAAAACCCCCACAAACCACCCAGCCATAACCACCTTCCTTAATCGATCATAGGAGTTTCTTTTCATTTTATAAAAAGATTAATAAAAAATATTGAAAAAATTATTTTCTCATCTTATATTTGTAAAGATAATAGAATTCAGAAGTTTCTTAGAAAACAGACCAGAAACTGCCGTCCAGTTTCCACCCCTGTTGCTGAGAGGGTCAGCAGGACTACAAAGTTTGGGATACTAGAGCTGCTGGTGGAGAATGGGATGCCCAGCCCAGAAGAAATCAGAAAATATTGGGGTGTGGGGGGACGTGGGGTATGGTTAGCAGCACACCATGGGATACATGGCTGTGCAGAAAAGGGGAACACAAGGTGGTCAGAAAGGCCTTGAACTCCTCCTCGACATACAAAACCGATTTTTACAAAGATCCAAGCAGTTTGGTCCCAAACTGAGGTGAACACTTCAATGTTTATTCACATGCTTTGTTTTCTCTTTGAAGAATCAAAGTTGCCCAAATTAAATCTTTCTGCTATGGTTACTACATATGCCTAAGGGGAAGGAAAAAAAAAAAGGAAGAAGAAGGGTTCTTAAAATCAGGATAAGGGAGAAGAGATTGAAAACCAAATTAGTCCTCTTAGCTCCAAATGAAATTAAGAACAAAACTGTTGGTTTCTAATAGGGAACAAACCAAAATCCAGGTATCGCTCTCCCCTCCCTACCCCAGCCCCCACCCCGCACACCAACAACAAATGAGAAACACAGCTAAAGCCCAATGCGTTGTGTTCTGCTCCAGAGCTGGGCCCAACCCCCCAGGCCCCGCCTGTCCGGTGGGACACAGCGCCAGGGATGCTCCCAGGGATGCTCGATGCTCCGCGGTAGTAGGATTCTGCGTGGCTGGGGAGGTGGGGGGAAGGGCGGGATTTTCGCAATCTTGAGGCTTCTCGGTTTCGCTCCTCACCAGCCATCTTCCCAGCGCCCTCTCTCCCCTGGGCAGGGGCTCCCATCGCAGTGGCCCCTACTCAGTTGTGGGCTGTAAATTGTCCTTCTCTTCTCGGTTCTCTGTCCCACTCTCGTCGTCTTCAATCTCCCCTTCCTCCCCACTGAACTTGTCGTGGGCCCATTTGGGGCTGGTGCTGGACTTCCGGAACATGAACCGGCCTCGACCCCGGGGGAAGGCTCCTCGGCCCCGGCCCCGGCTCACCCACTTCTCGCTGCCTTCGCCTTCACGGTCGTCATGCTGAGAGGAAGGAAAACCACCATCAGCGCCAGAGTGAACAAGCACGGCAGAGCCCTCTTGTCACCCAGATGTGACTCTCAAGCCAACCTATGCCCCATCCACCTTTTTTGTTCCTTTTCTGTCCTCAGCCCTGTCCCCTACTCCAAAAGTGCTACTGATTCAGATCCAAGCGAACCTTCCACTGTGTGCCTCAGGATTCTAAGGCAGCAGCCAGGGCATTTTAATGACGACGCTAAAACGCTCACTGAGCACTGAAAGACCTCCACACCCATGACCTCACTTACCCCTCACATCTACCCTCCTCTCATTATCGCCCGCCACCACGCAAACGAGGAAACGGGCTTAGGAACTTTAGGTGACTCCATGTTGTTTAATACACCATCTCTCAAAGGACAGGTCTGAGAAAGCCAATCACACCAAAACACCAAACTATGTCTGATCTGGGACATCAGGCAGCTACCAGAGAAGTGACACTCAGTAATACCTTGCTGGATGCTAGCGTTTCCCGGCCCTCCCCACCCACAGCCTAGGACAGGTAGCGAGAACAAGGGCAAATGACCTGGTCACGGTCTCAGACCTGTAAGTGGCAGGCAGGACCAGAACCCAGCCTCCCATCTTCTATCCCCCCTTTAATTTCATGCAAAAGGCAGTGTGGCCGAGCAGGAAAAAACCAGCTTGCATCTCAATCCTGCTCTGATGACCTCATGAGAGAGGAGGCAGCTCCAATAAAAGAATGAATGAGAAAGCATTTTGAAAACTAGAAGTTGTCGTTATCTCATGAACCCCAAACCATCACAATCAGGACCTCGGGCTCTGGACCTCGGGCTCCGGGGGTAAACTAAGGGCCAGTTGCTTCTTACCAGGCGGCTTGGTCAAAAGCCTAAACGCATGAGGCCGGCAAAGCTCTTACAGGCAGCAGCTGGAGATGGAGAAAGAAGGGCTCTAGACAGACTTTAATCCTTCCCCTATAGCGGTGCCACTCCAGCACGGATCCCGAGCCACGCCAGCTCCTCCCAGAGAGGGTCCAAGGGTCCTCTAGGAGTCTCCACTCAGCTCCCAGCAGCCCCAGAAAAGAGAAGGTGGCTGTACACAGCCACCTACAAAACCAGTCTCCTGGCTGTGCAGCTGACACTCCACACCAGCACCAGCCCGTCTCGTGGGGGAGGAAGCCTTGCTGCAAGTTTTTCTGGGTTACAACACTCAGAGGCACGTGTGCTTGGACCTAGGCCTGCCAGTGATACAGCGAGGCCGAGAGAACTTTCTCACTGGCAAGGTAATTCAGCCTAGATGAGCCCCAACGTGAGGGAGGCAGGGAAAGCCCGGGAAGCGCCTGCTACCTCTGAGTGACAGGCAACTTAGATGAGAGGAGCCCAGTGACATTTCATTCTGGAGACAGCTCCCTCCCTCAAAAGGACCCTGTGCCATCTTTTCTACCTTGCACGAGGGAGGGAGAGTGCAACTGCAGACTCAGGAGAGGGTTAGGACTCCATCCCCCCTGAATAAAGACTGGAGAGAGGCTGAGGCTGGGTTAGCAAATAAAAAGCTCACAAATAGGGGCGTCTGGGTGGCTCAGTTGGTTAAAGTGTCTGACTCTAAACTTTGGCTCAGGTCATTCACAGTTCTTGAGTTCGAGCCCTGGGTCAGGCTCTGTGCTGGCTGTGCGGAGCCTGCTTGCGATTCTCTCTGCCCCTTCCCTGCACACACTCTCTCTCTCTCTCTCAAAATAAATAAGCTTAAAAAAAAAGAAAGCTCACAGACTAAAAAGGCCAGAGCATGCCTTCTTGTTCTTCCTAGAATCCATAAACCCCTTAAGACGACAGACACTTCTGGGGCCAGGACCAGCTCTCGAGAGAACGCCCATCTTGCCGGCACTGTGCTGTCCCTGAGTACACATCCCCCCCGGTGCGATCCGCCTGCACACGTATTTAATCGCAGTTCTGGACAGACCAATCAAGGCCTCGGTATCAGCTACTGTGTGTGCCAAAGGCCCTCCGGCCCATCCTGGTCATCCCTGACACATACCAGGTAATACTTCTTGCTTTTGGGCGTGTACTCGGGGTCCCACTCCTCCTCGCGGGTTCTCTTTTGAAAATCGTTGTTGCTGTTGTTGTTGTTGTTACCAGAGTAGTTGCCTCTGCCCCAGCCTCTCCCTCTGGCTCGAAATTGCTGTGGCATAAGTGGGGAAAAGGAACAAAGGACTCTGTCAGGAATGGAGAAAAACAACTCCCTACCTTCTGTTCAAATCCTTTTCTGGTGGAGAACAGACAGCCGTCCTCTGGTCCATCTGCTGGTCAACGGGTTTCTAGCT